ACTTCAGTTCACTTGTTCATAATATAATCAAATTACAGTCATACAGAATGTAGACATATTATATGTTTTATATGTTCAGATTGTTTTGTATTGTAGTCTTGATTGCTATCAGAATTTGATTCAATTGATTTGTGATTAAAGATTACAGACTTGCTCCTCTTATTCTACAAGTTCAGTTCAGCTTACAGTCATAATTTGTTCAGTTGATGCGTGATCATTGGGCCATAATATGTGGCTCAACTATGTTGACAGCAATGTACTGAAGCTTCTCAGTTTGATTTGAGGGGAAGTGTTGATAAAGTAATGAAGCTTCCCAGTTTGGTTTGAGGGAAAGTGTTGGTAAAAAGGGATGAGAATGCAAAAAAGTTGAGTAGCAGGAGCAAACTGAACTTTGGCAAAAGTGATATCGTTTTGCCAAAGTTCAGTCATCATTATTTCACAAAAGAGAATGCATATTGTTAGAGAATATAGTTTGTGGGTTATCTCAAATTGCATAAAAGGGAAAGTTATTCCCTCTTGTAAAACTGTTTAGAAAAAGAATCACATAGAAGCAAAATTCGATTTCTCTTGTCTTTCTCTTTGTGTTCTCTGAACCCTTGCCATTGTTTCACAAAAGCCACAAACAGATTCCACCAAAAAGCAGGAAAAGGATCAACATCTTTAAGAGTGACTTAAGAAATTGATCAGTATACTCACTTCATCCTTGATAGCATGATGAACTGCTACTTTGCTAGTTTTCAGACATTGTAATTCTGGCAGAGGAATGTTCAATACTTCATAGTACAATATATCAGAAGTCTGTCCAAGAACATGGTGAGAAAAAGCATAATATTATATTTTCCATTATATTTCAACATCCCAGATTAACTACGACCATGAGTACTACCTGGTTGTAGTGAATCGGCATATTCACCAAATGATCAATGCCATGGTACTTAATAGGTTAAGGTTTAGGTTGCTAAGAGTAGCAGTTATGTGATGTACGCCTGATTTTGGATGCATCATCCAAATTCAATTTCTAAGCTACTCTTTCTACAACATCATCATACGTAAAAAGCTTTGACCTTGAAATTCAAAACACAATAGCATCAGATACAATTACTCGGTAATGTACATATACATAATATAATGCACAATCAACAAAGATAAATCTGCAGTAAAATTACAGAATTCAACTTCATCTAATATTAAGCCCTTACATCTCTAGACAAAAATCATCTTCCTTCAGCTTTTCAAGAGATCAGAAGAAATCATCTTCCTTCAGCTTTTCAAGAGATCAGAAGTGAACAACCACTTACCACACAAAATCATGCAAAATTTAGCAAAGTTAAATGACGAGTTGATGAATACCAATTAATTATAAAAACAATAAACATAATGTCTAGGGATGACAAGGAAGATGTTCACTACAAAAAAGCAAAGAGATAAATCACAAATGTAGGGAGATTGTAAACCAAAAATAAAACAAAAGGAATATCAAAGAAAAGCTTAGTTTTCTAAATACATTAGGAACCATGGAGGTGTACCCGTTGATTATGCACATAGTCCAAAAATGAAGGAACATCTGGATAGCGATATTGTTTAGCACTTTCAACTGTATGAGATTTTTAAAAGCAAACAATATCTCCATCTTGAAGCTGCAACAGAGACAATGCCAGAGTTAAACATTATCACAGGGAAAACAAATAACACCATGTCTGTTATGCATAACATTTACCTCGCTAGCTTGAAATTTATATCTATAGTCAATGGGTTCGTACATCACACTGGGCTCAAACATAATTTCCTAAATATCAAAACATGAGTAAGTTACCATCCTCAAAATAATGCATAACCATGCAAATTTAAATATGGCATGCTAGCTGATTATCAAATAAACCATTTGTTAGTGTTTTTACTAATGTCGGATGTGCAAAGAAAAGAGAATGGAAGGAAAAACTAATCTGATTTCATTAGGCAACAAAACCTGCATATAACATACTTTGGCTTACTGTTTCAACTACTGTCAGTAAGCTTTTACTTAATCTCAGCTAAACCACTCAAGTCTAACAACTTCATTACAAATTGGTGAAAGTAAGCTGAGTCATCAAATTCAAAATTAACATACAAGATGACAAAATAAACTTAAACTACTGAACTTAAACAGCACCATGCACGTCCATCTTGCAGCAGCAAGATAACTTCAAACTTTCAGCAACAGCAAAACATACTTCCAGCACAGCATCAACCTTCAACACTCCACCTTGATGCTTTGGTTGGAAACACCAAGTTCTAGTCTTAATGCTTCAAACTTGGATTTGCACAAGGCCTTTGTCATAATGTCAGCAACTTGCTCTTCTCCTCTACAGTGCATTAAACTCACTTCACCACACTGTTTAGCCTCCCTTACTGCATGATATTTAATCTTGATGTGCTTGGTTCTGCCGTGGAGCTCAGGGTTCTTTGCCATGGCCACTGCTGACTGGTTATCACACAAGATTAATGTAGGACCATCCTGCACATGGTGCAAATCATCCAGCATCTTCCTAAGCCACACAGCCTGGTTCACTATTGCTACAGCAGAGACATATTCAGCTTCAACAGTAGACTGTGCCACAGTCTCCTGCTTCCTTGACAGCTAGCAAATTGCACCCTTATTCAGATAAAACACATAACCAGAGGTGCTGCTAGCATCATCTAGGGATCCACCCCAGTCACTATCAGTATACCCCACCAATTTTAGACTTTCAGCTTTCCTAAAACAGATGTCTAACATGATGGTTCCCTTTACACACCTCAACACACGTTTTGCAGCCTTAAAGTGCAGTTCACTTAGGTTGCTCATAAACCTTGAAAGATAACTTGCAATGAACATAAGATCAGGTCTGGTGGCTGTGTAATACAACAAACTTCCCACCAAGCTTTTGTATTTCCCTTCATCTACCCTCTCTGCACCATCAGATTTGCTTAGTTTCAGGTTGGGAACCAGTGGGGTATCCACTGGTTTACAATTGTCCATTCCAAACTTCATGAGAAGCTCGGTTGCATACCTTTGTTAGCACACAAAAATCTCACCTGCAGTCTGCCTTATCTCCATGCCTAGGAAATATTTCATCAATCCTAAGTTAGTCATTTCAAACTCAGTTTGCATGGCTGACTTAAACTGGTCCAGCTCTTCAGGATTGCTTCTAGTCACTAATAAGTCATCAACATAGAGAGAGACCACAGCCAAACCCCTTTCAGTTTTCCTTATGTAAAGAGTGTGTTCATTTGGGCTTCTAGAGTAACCAAGGCTCCACAAATGGTCATTTATTTGGCTGTGCCAGGCTCTAGGAGCTTGCTTCAAGCCATACAAGGCTTTCCTTAGTAGATAAACATGATCCTCTTTGCCCTCAACCTTGTAGCCTTCCAGTTGCTCCATAAAAATCTCCTCTGAAATCCAACCATTCAAGAATGCCAATTTGACATCCAGTTGGAAAATATTTCCAGTTAAACTGAGCTGCAAGTGCCAACAGCAGCCTGATTGTGTCTTGCCTAGCTACCGGGGCAAATGTCTCTGAAAAATCAATACCTGGTTGCTGTGCAAAGCCCTTCACCACCAGCCTTGCTTTATGCTTATAGATTGTGCCATCTGGATTGATTTTCAGTTTGAAAATCCATTTCACCTGAATTACTTTCCTTTTTTTAGGTCTTGGCACCAATTTCCAGGCTTGATTTTTATCAATCATGTTGAGTTCCTCCTGCATTGTAGCCCTCCACACTTCAGATTTTACAGCTTCAAGATAACATCTTGGTTCCACCACTGCCATATTACACCTTTTGTATACATCAGCCAATGATCTTGTCCCTCTAACAGCATGTTCTTCTTCCTCATCTGAATCTGCCTCTTGAATCAGCCCCTCATTCATCTCTTCCTGTCTTGATTCAGCCTGCACATCAACTCTCTTTTCTTCCCAGTTCCAGACTCCACCTTCATCAACCTTTATGTCTATTTGATTACAATCTTCCTAGACTTAGGAACATAAACTCTATAGGCTTTAGAGTTGCTGCTATAGCCTATAAGTATCCCAATTTCAGCCTTATCATCCAATTTGGATCTTTTGCTTGCTGGGATCATTACATAGGCTATACGTCCAAATACTTTCAAGCTCCCCACTGCAGGTTTGATTCCACTCCACGCTTCAATTGGTGTTTGATGTTTGATGTTTGACTGCCTTGGTGGGCAGCCTATTTAGGAGAAAAACTGCTGTATTAACAGCTTCAACCCAGAACACTTTAGGAAGATTTTTTTCAGCCATCATGCACCTAGCCATTTCCATAATGGTTCAGTTTCTTCTTTCACAAACACCATTCTGCTGAGGGGTGTATGGCACTATGAACTGCTGCTGAATTCCAGCTTCACTGCAAATTTTGCTGAATTCATTTGAGGTGTACTCTGTCCCGTTGTCACTTCTTACGGTTTTGATCAAGGTTCCAGCTTCATTCTCCACCAGCAACTTGAATTTCTTAAACACAGCAGCCACTTCATTTTTCTGCTTAAGGAAATACACCCAAGCTACCCCTGAGTAGTCATCAATGAAGAGTACAAAGAACCTGCTGCCATTTAAGGATTCAGTCTTCATTGGACCACACACATCCGTGTGGATCAATTGCAGCTTGTGACTTGCTCTCCAGGCTTGATTCGAAGGAAATGAAGGCCTGCTAAGTTTGCCAAGTTGGCAGGTTGTACATAAGGATTTTTTCTCTTCTATTTCAGGTAGCTCCAGCACCAATTCTCTTGCCTTAAGTTCTTTGATTCCCAAGTAATGAAAGTGGCCAAACCTTTTATGCCACAAATCAGACTCATCAACCTTACTAGTTAGTGCTAGGTTTCCTGGTTTTTTCCACTCTACCGAGAAGCTTTTTCCTAGCATCCTGACACTCATCAATTCATTTCCCTCACAATCCATTATTACACAAGCATGATTTTGAAAATGTAAGGTGTAGTTTTTCTCCAACATTTGACCTACACTTAACAGGTTTTATGCAATTTCAGGAACAAATAAAACACTTGAAATGATCTTGGTACCTGGTTGAGTTTGGATAGCCACATCTCCAATCCCTTTTGCCTTCACATACTCACCATTTCCCACCTTGACCTTGGAGTTGTATGTTCTGTCTATCCTGACAAAATTCTCCAGTTTTGTTGCCATGTGGTTAGTACAACCACTGTCTATTAGCCAAACATCACCGGTGGTCTGCATGGAGTAGCATGAAGCTACAAACAGCTGTTCTGGTTCACTGCTATGCTGTTGGTCTTCTACACTTTGTGCTTGCTGTGGTGGCTGTGCATTTTTATTCCTGCACACTTTTTCAATGTGCTTGAACTGTTTGCACCTCCTGCATTGGATCCCAAGTCTGAACCAACACTTACTGTCTGGATGTCCCTTCTTTTTGCAGTGAGAACATGGTGGATAATTCCTTCCTCCACTCAGTTTTCCCCACTATCCATCAGTTCTCTCTTTTCCTCTCTTATCTCCAGCATATTTCTTATTTCTTCCCTACACATTCAACCCCTTTTGAGCAGCCATCATAGCACCTTCATTTGAGTCATCCTGCCTCATCAACCTTCTTTGTTCTTGGGCCTGTAGGGCATGAACCAATTCGGTGAGGCTGATTTGGGAGAGGTCCTTTGAATCTTCTAAGGAAGATATTTTGGACTCAAATCTTTTCGATAGGCTGACTAACACTTTCTCAACTATCATCTTGTCACTCATCTCAACTCCCAACAATCTAATCTTGTTCACTACACTCATAAGCCAATCTACATACTCTTTAACCTTCTTTACCTCCTGCATTCTTAGCATTTTGAACTCTCTTCACAGGTTCATAACTTGCATATTTCGAGTTGTATCACTCCCCATGAACTCCTCCCTCAATCTATCCCAAGCTTCCTTTGCAGTTTCACATGCCATTATCCTTGTAAATACAAGGTCTGTTACTGCAGAATGTATGTGAGAAAGGGCTCTTGGAGCTTTGGACATTTCCTCCTCATACATCCTCATTTGATTCAAAGTTGGGTTTGGACCAAGCTGCGGTGGTTGTTTCTCCTCTTGCACATACTGCCACAACCCTTGCCCTCTTAGGTAGGCTCTCATTCTAACAGCCCAGATGTGATGCTGGTCCCCATTGAACACTGGAGGTGAGAGAGAAGCCGATTGAGTTGCCATGCGAAACCAGGTTGGAGTTTTTCTGGAAAGTGTTGTTCTTGCGGAAGGTTGAAGTTTGATGGTGATTCAGGATGTTTTTGAGTGAGTTTGTTAGATGCTGGTTTGTTAATGCAGCTCTGATACCATGTTAGTGTTTTTACTAATGTCGGATGTGCAAAGAAAAGAGAATGGAAGGAAAAACTGATCTGATTTCATTAGGCAACAAAACCTGCATATAACATACTTTGGCTTACTATTTCAACTACTGTCAGTAAGCTTTTACTTAATCTCAGCTAAACCACTCAAGTCTAACAACTTCATTACAAATTGGTGAAAGTAAGTTGAGTCATCAAATTCAAAATTAACATACAAGATGACAAAATAAACTTAAACTACTGAACTTAAAACAGCACCATGCACGTCCATCTTGTAGCAGCAAGATAACTTCAAACTTTCAGCAACAGCAAAACATACTTCTAGAACAGCATCAACCTTCAACACCATCATTCCAATGCAACCTCCAGAATGGACTTAAACCCCAAAATCCTGTAACTAGAGATCTCAGCTCTCAGACAACTCAACTCTTCATGGTCCACATTTTTAACTGACAATATTAAAAGTCAACCCTTAATACATCAGTCACTCCAAATAACCAAAGCATGGAGAGACAGACAAGTGGACCTAAAACGAGTTGCGTACCAGTAAGTATCCTACACACTCTAGGGCAGAGAGCACCAAATTATCATAATTTTTTGCTCATAGGCAAGGATGACATTGGCTTCAAGTCCAAGCATAACTAAAGGAAATCATCTCCAAAACATAAGAAATAATATAAATCTCTAAGGGGCCGCAAACTGTTAGCACACCCAAACTTTAAATTTCATAAAACGGTGTGATTAACTACTTTTAACATATATTTTTTTTAAAACCACTGAAGTTGCTTTTTTTTGCTAATTGAAGACCATTTTTCCTCAAGAGAATTTTGAGTGCTCAAATCCTTCATTTTTTTTTTTTTTTTTTTTTCCAAATACAGTACTAAATACATTTTGCATTAACTATTGAAAATAAGTCTGAAATACTATAGCAATCCACTCCTTAGTCACAACAATTGAAGAGAAACGTATCCTTTTTGCAGCTTTACTAATTAAGTAATGGACTAAGAAATTCTTAAACCACTCAGCTTGAGTTCGCCACCGTTCATTTAAGGCTTCTCATGAAAGATAAGCAGCAGGAAACAAACCTCACAGAGTTTGATTTCTTCATCAGGATCATAGCTAGCCATTTTTTTAGTTTTGCCAAATATTCGATCGGATTACCAGTACTCTTCACAAAAAGCCTTCCAACATAGCTATTATCACAGAAAAATAATCTCTTCCAGAAGAGAAAAAAAAAAAAAAAATACACTCACAGACACAAATATACAATAGAAAACAACAAAGTACCACAGCTGTTCTTTCTCAGGGTCATAAAGCTTGAAAAAAAGTAATATATCTTCCTTTGTCTTGCCAGGTGGAGCAATAGGCCGTAAATACTGAACATAAAATACAAACGTAAATAACATTTATTTTGATTGGTAAGCCACTCTAAATTAAATGTTTTTGAGGGCTGTTTAGCTTCAGGTAATTTTGGTATTATCAAAACTATACAGATAGCTATAGAAATTAGCATATCGACTTTATACTAGTAGCCTCACTGAGGGATGCTACTATTTTGCTAGTGGACACCTGCCCACATGTATCCACTACTTTTTATCAATATAATTTTCATGTTTCTTTAAAAGTAATAGAAATGACATTAATAACATCACTTAAAATATGGCGATAGTTCAAGGAAGAAACCAGAAAGCTTAAATAGGAAGGAAAGAATTACCAGTCCACGCTCTACTTCCAAGAACAACTTCAACTCCGCATTATGAACCTTATTCGATGTCTCCTTCAGCTGCCCAACCCAAAATACCAAGATAAAAAAAAAAAAAAAAGAAACTGGGCAATGCATATCTTCATGTCCTTAGGCACTAAAACCACTAAAACAAGTGCCCAATTTATATAGTAAAACCATTTGGAATAATGACACCCCAACAGCAAAATGGAAGGAGACATTGCCAAAGCTGATGACAATTCGATACAATATTGCAGAAATAAAACATAATGTTGGAGATAAGCAACATCAATTATCTCATATTGAAATGTATATTTTCATATAGAAAACCTAAAACATAAAAACTATAGATTTGTGACAGCTACCACAAAGTGTTTTACCATTAGCAAGAGCAGAAAAAAAAATACAATGGATGGGAATTAGCACATGCATTGAAACGGATGGTCAAAATCATAATGCTGAATAAATAAAGAACAATTATCAGAACAATTCACTAGTTCTTCCAAGGAAACATATGGATATTAATTCACAATGAAATTACAAATCATACAGGATTACATATTTGCCTAATATAGACAATTGCAAGCAACATATTAGCAATGGCCCAAAAGAAGAATGTTTGTTATAATTATTACATCACAAGGAGTCCCTTGAACAAATTTGGCATTGCCTGAAACTAAACAAACCTACCAAAAAACTCTTGAAACAGTAACTATAGGGTAGTAATAGCAAGCAGAACTACTTATAGTTTGTGTTTCCTCCAAAGGTGTCAACGGCCGATTAGGGCGGTATGTATGGTTCTGGCACTGTGCCCACAGCCAAAACCGCTGAAGTTGCACTAGAATACCAAACTCTTTAGCAACCTCTTGCTGCACACACAATCCATCACATCGAGTCTGTAATACCCTGTATTTTTTTATAGAATTTTATTTTTTGATTTTAGGGGGTAAAGTGTTAGATTTTGAATGTTTTAGGAGAGCAAAGTGTAATGGCCGAAACAAGTGAGAACTAAAGTGAAATTTGTCAGACATTTTGATGAACAGTTATCATTCAAAGAAAGGAAAAAGGGAGAAGAAGGGAACGATGGGGAGAAGAAGAAGAGAAGAAAGAAAGAGAGGGAAGAGAGGAAAAAAAGAGAGAAAATGGAGAAAAGAAAAGAGAGAAAAAAGAAAGGAAGAAGGGAGAGAACGTAGAGAGAGAGGAGTAAAGAATGATGAAGCTGGCTGGAAAAGTGCCCACCGGCGAACAAAACTCCGATGATCGGAAAGAGTGGAGGAAGATCAAGCATGTGGGAGGTGAATAAAGCTTAAAATTTCTCTCTTTGATGAGTTTTAGTTTAATTGATTTGTATTGTTCATAATTGAGCACAATGGCATGAGATTGAATTAAAATATGGAGATTGATTTCAATAATTTTATGTGAGTAGAATGTACACGTTGTTCCTAAACAAAAATGGGTTAAAGATATAATTTTTGATATAAGTGTTTATTGTGCAAAAATTTGTCCATCTGGGATTCTAAAATTGTTTATATGTTTTGGCTTCTTGATTGAAGCTGAATTTTTGATATCTTGTTGTAGGCTTCTTGAGGAGTGTTGAGAAATTTATTTCACTCAAAAACTCAAAGGATTGAATTTTATATGGATTTTTTAAGTTGCCTTGTCAATTCTGGAATTTTCGTTTTCTGCAGAGCATGTATTTTCGGAAAATGATTTGATGCATCTATTCTTATCCAAATTGAGTGATTTTAATTCTGGTGAATCTTATATGTGTCTAATTAAATTCTGGAGAGTTTTGTGAGGTTTAGATTAAGGGTTGAATTGTTATTAATTTTACAAGTTAGTAACCTCAATTCTGGAAGCATTTGGCAGATTTGAATGAGTTGAAAGAAAATTGTGTTTTAAATAGTTACTGATTCTAGAATACTTGAGAAAATTATGGTAACAACTTATGTGTCTGTAGAAGGCCCCATCAAAATTATGGCTCAAAATGATGGATAAAGTTTTTATGAAAAATCCAAGAGTGACCAATGTTCGGTTATAAGACAGTTTTGTTAAAGAATAAGCTAAGTTAATCTTTTGGTGTGTGTGAAGTTTCCAATTAATTTAATAATGAGGTGTTACCTTATGGGGACTCACGTATGGAGAATTTATTGGATTTTATATATAGGGAGGCAAGCGGGGCATTGTTAGAGGATTTCAATCTTTTTTGGCTTAAGGGTCAAGCTCCAAAATGGTGAGTGGAAAATCCAAATCCTAACTTTCATTTTGAAATAATTGTTTGTTATAAACTTCAAATGAGTTGTTTTGGTTTATTATTTGCCATAATTTAGTGATTTACTTTATATAAATATGATTTATTGCCAATGTTATTGGTTTACATGAGAAATTGAGTTTTTTTTTTTTTTTTTGGAAAATTGTTGTTGATAATATAAAAATTGGGTTAAGGTGTTATTATGAAATCATGTTGAAAACTTGCATTTTAGCCTTATACTGCACATGAGAATTTAATGTTATGTTATATGTTTTCTTGATGAATGAAGGCATGAGATTTATATAAAATAGTGAGTTAAAGGTATGTATATTGCTGATAGTAGTTTTCAAACCACCATATATAGTACTCATCCCCCTCATGATATTGATTTGATTCTACCCATGCGTATGATATGATTTTGCCGATCCAAGTGGGTCGAAGGCCCGAGCAAGGCAGATATCACTACACAAGATTTTGTCGGCCCAAGTGAGTCGAAGGCCCGAGCGAGGCAAATATCGCT